AGAAGAAAAATGAGGATGAACGTTAATTGCTGTGATTAGTACGATTTTAACAATGATTTCAATTGGACTAAGCACCAATTGGGAAGCAATTTAATGAAGAGGAAAAATTTCTGTTCAATTGCTGGCTGCTTCGTGCAGTAATGCGTTCTAAGATCAGTATGAATTTTGAAGTTATTTTCATATGTGTCATTTGTGTTTGGCTGTGTGTCATCACGAGGATTGTTGATGTTTATAGGTACGAAATGCGATTAGCAACGAAATTCATCCGAAGTACAATACGCACTTCAATATCCTTCGCTATTGTCAGTCGTGTGAATTCAATGCATCGAAAACTATTTATATGGTTTGTGCTAATTTTATCTCATGGAAGCGATGATTTCAACATTTGACAACTTTTATGTTGATACGCGAAACATAGAATGACCACACTCAGATCGGCCGGTCACTTCGTTGTCGTTGCTACTTTGAAAACTAGCAATCAATTGTGAGACTGATGGTGGCAAGGGAAGAATTCCATTAGGACAATCTATTATTCACACACACACACCTGAATGCTACGAAATGCATCTCCTAAGATTTACTGCTTCTCACAAGCAACAAGTTGATTAGTGATCTGCTTAAATTCATGGTTCATTCAGCTGCGACGACATCTGCGTTTCCGTTCTGAGTATGAGCTGGACACGAACGTTGGCGAGAATCAACTAAGCAGTCTGCCGTGGCTTGAGGAATACGCACCGTGGACAATCGTTGGACCGAATCGTAAAAATGTCCAAGAGGCAGATCATTTGATCGTTGTAGAGCAAATTGGTCAAATCGACTCGCACGGTTTACTCAAAGCGGTTGAATACACCAAATTTATGCATCAGCAATTCAGGCGAATGGAAAAACTCTTCAACGTCATTCATAAGGTCGAATGCTGAACATAACGAATTTCTATCACATCTGAACGAGAATATCTAAATTTGGTGATTTTAAGAAGTTGTGCGAGTTGTTTAAGCAAACCGTTTCTATTCTATTCATAGCGTTACTCGTTCAGAGAGATCTAACTATGTTATGCCCAAGTTGGCTTTGAAAATCGATGCGATACATTACAAAACGAAGGCACATTGCATTTTCTTGTCAATGACATAGAAATCAGTTGTGAAAATCCAAAGATCATATTTTGATTGGTATGTGAAATTTGCAGTTAGAAGCTCAAACTGGTAAGCAGTGC